CTACACTTTTTTTCCAACAGTTTTAATATTTGTCAGCCCAGGGTGCCGTTGCTGTTTCATACCAGGTTTGGGAAGCACCTGGCAGGCGTCTGGCAGGGATGTCCCAGGCTCTGGGAGCGATGCCCCCATGCAGCCACTGCACTTCCAGCAGGATTGTCGGGCTTATTTTCCTAATGGAAAGAGAAGGTTGAAAGCTGAATGTGGCAAAAACTGAGCAGATACTGATTTTCTTTATTTATTTGTTCAACAGCTGAGCGGAAGAGTCAGATGAGGGGAAGTTTTGTGTCAAACCCAGTGACAGTTTTGAGATGTTTGGGGTTTTTGCTGGTTTCCATGGTAACAATAAGAATTGGACAGAGCTGGTGTTGATTGCAAGGCAAAAAGAGTGTTGCTTCCTATGGAGAAATACCAATATCCAGTACTGGCTTAGGATGCATAATACTGAAATGAAAAATCAAACTGTTTTGCTTTCAGACTGGGTAAAATAGTGGAGCTTCTTTATTGCTTTTGGTGGGGTGGCTGTAGAAAAGGGTGATAATCCAAAGCAGCAACTGAATTTGATACAAATTCATGACTACTTTTGGTGACTGTAAACTTTAAATATGAAGTATTAATTATCAAAAATATTTGCTGAAATCCTTGTTTCAGTATTCCCTTATCCAAAGGCAAGGTGCAACAGGGAATATTTTGACAGTAGGCCGCTGTAAGGAGTCAGAAGTACCCCAAGCAATGGCTAGCTAACTTCAAGCAAATGCCAGAAAGTCAGCATTAGCTCACACAACTGGAAGCACAGTTTTGTTAATACAGTACTCACAGATGTATTTGGCAACCAACATGATGGCATAAAACGTGTGGCTTAAAAAACCACTAATGATGTCTATTTTAAAAAATTAATTTTTTTTTGGTTGAAAATTAGGTAATTTTCTCCGGAGTTTTATGTTTCTCTGATTCATAATTTTTGTGAAAAGGACAGACACAATCATGAAATTATGTTTGGTAGTGTACTGCTCACTTTTGGGGCATAGTCAATGGTTTTAATCTTCCTTGTGAAGATTGCTCGTGTTCAACTTCATAGTTTGATTAAAAAAAAAAATAAAATAAAAGTCGTAATCCGTTGCAAAGAACAAGCAGCAATAATTACAATGGAAGTAAGATCGGGGAATTTTCCTTTTGAAGGACCAGCAGCCTTTATGAGGTCTGCAGAGCAGTTTCTGTTCCACTACATTAGGATCACTTAAATTTTTTTGGGAACTGTTCGGGCAAAATGAAAAAAAAGATATATAGACCTTAGGTTTCCATCTGTGGGCTGAATTAGTTGCATATAAATTTGTTCCCCATTTGTGAATTCCATAAATTGCTTCTTATCATTTTCATTTTAAAATCAAGTACATATTTCACATAAAACACTCAGTTTTCATTATAAAGCTTTTGAGAAATTGTGCCAAGAACTGCACTAGGTACCTTGTTGTAATCACTGTCTATAAAGATATGGTACCAGTTTGGTATGGTCAGAAATACTGGGTAGAATGGAGTTTCCCAGGAATTTTCTTTTTTTTTAAAAAACATTTTTTTTTCCCCTGTATGGGAGCAGGGGTGTGAATGAAAAAGTTTTTCTTTGAGAAAAAGAATTCTCATTTACCTTGGTCATTTCTGCATTTTTAGATGTACTTGAAGGATGTTTTAAAAGAGCCATGCTGAGTTGAGAAAATTTCAAAGTTGTGTTTAAGAAATAAAAGACAAAAAAAATACTTGCACATTTAAAATACAAGATCATTTTATTTGACTGGCTGGGTAAATTGGTAAACTCACGAACATTCACAAAGGCTTGCTTCTGGTTTCTCCCCTTGGAGCAGCAGCTGTTCCCTGGAAGCACTTTCCGGTTGGACCGCGCTAGGCATGGTGAGCGTCCGTCCACGCGGGTCCAGTGAGAAGATCCATACGGGCAAATTCCCCGTGCACCGCTTTAAAAACACACCCTAAATCTTATCATAATCATCCTTAATATCTTCTCTGCAGCACACTTAGCACTTTCCTCTCAAGGACGACGGTCTCCTCGAGACAAGGCTTATCCATTACTGGGAGGGCTCCCTGACAGCCTGGGAAGGTGCACGGTGCCTTATGCATTATTCAACATATATGAAAGGTCCCGGCACCCCTTCTGTTTGCTTCTGCAGTGTTTTAGATAATCTGCGAGCGTTTGACGTGGATCAGAATTCGATGGCTGTTTTACCTGACGTGCATGAGAAGCAGAGCCTTGTCCTTGCACCTTCGCGCGCTTTCCCACACGTAGCGTTGTCCATACGCGGCACTTGCCACTTCTTTGCCTGGGCGCTTGAGTTGCAGCGATGCCTGGAAAGTTTCTTTGAGATGGGAGCTGGAGAGGTGTGCCGGGCATAAAAACAGGGCTGCTGGTGGGCAGAGGACAGGAGGAACGGTTGCCCTAATGCGTGCTGATGTTTGCTGCTCGAGCTGTGGGACGTCAAAATAACAGGCTGCAAAACCTGGGTGAAGCAGGTATCCGTGGCATGTTCTTATTGATGGGTATCTACAGAAGAGAGAAGGAGAAAAGACTGAATTTCTGTTAAACAACCTGTACCTTGGGTTTCATCGTCCGTTTTGTGGGTCTCAGTACTTAGGTACAAAGAGCTGTGAAGGAGCTGGCATCTAACAGTCTGTCAAATTGAAATTTTTCATGAGCTCCACTGGGATGATCTCTTAAAGATACAATATAAATGCACATATTTTCAGTATCTTTATTACCTTTAAGAACTCTTTACTGTAGTGGCCTTGGAAAGCCACTAACAGAGGAACGCTCCACAGTTCCAGGTTGTATGCAAAGTTGTGGTGGACATTTCGCTAACGTCATCTTACGAAGTGGGTCGTTTTAATGCTTGCAACAGGGAAGAGGTGATGCTACTTGGGGTAGACGCTCGGGTGATGCTGTTCGGGGCAGACACTGTAGGTTGCGGAGCTGCAGCATCTCCGGGCTCAGCAGCTCCCAGCGCTGTGCTGGCATGCCCAGGCTCCTCAGCAATGCACTTACCTCCTGTCCTGCTCTACACCCACACGTCCGTCCAAAAGCTTTCTGGTACGGGGGCCAGGGTTCAAAGGCAGACTGCCATCCCGTGCACGTGCAGGGTTTGTATTCACCAACACACCTCTGCCTTGCACATCGGGCGGGCAGCAGTGTGGTTTTTCCATACCATAACTTGTTTTTACCTTTCTAACCTAATCTGAGATTTTTTTCCCTAGCGTTTCTCCTATGCCTCCTATGGAGAAATACCAATATCCAGTAGTGGCTTAGGATGCATAACACTGAAACAAAAAATCAAACTGTTTTGCTTTCAGACTGAGTAAAATAATGGAGCTCCTTTATTGCTTTTGGTGGGGTGGTTGTAGAAAAGGGTGATAATCCAAAGCAGCAACTGAACTTAATACAAATTCCTATGACTTAACCACTGTGTGCCCAGCCCTGAAGAGCCACCTGAGCCTATAGCATGGCTCAGCCAGCATGGGCAAGAGCGGAAACCCTGAAATAACGTCTCAAACGCAGTCAGCATTGGTCTAACTCAAGCCCTGCAAAGGCTCAAAGCGCAGTAAAACGCACACTGACTGTGGTGGCAGCAAAGCGAAGCTGATGTCTAAAGCTGTTCCATCACCCCAAGTTTCTTAAGAATTCCTCTTGCTTTTTCGTTTCACAGTCTGATTTTTATTTAATGGGCGTATAGCTGTACTTGTGTAACATACTTGAACGATAAAAGTATCGACATCTCTGTCCCACTGCTATCAATTTAAGGCTTGGAGTCTGTTAATATTGCTGCAAATGTAGTTTATTTGGATGAGGTGTGGTAGGTTTAGTACTCGATTTCAGCGATTTCAGTGTACATTTTTATTGCATCAGCAAATTAAGGTTTTGGAATAAAAGGTTTTCTGTCCTTAATAAACTCTGTATTGGTGAACATGTAATAGGTGAGAACTTCAGTAAGAACTTCAGTGCGCTGACAGGTGTAGTAAGCTTAGTGGAACATCTCATTTTAGCATCACTGCACCTGGACAGTTGTCTTGGGATGTGTGGTAAATATTTAATGATTTTTCCTTTGTTTTCCGCAGATAGCGCCTGTAATAAGGCAGAATATCTGCAAGTAATATTGCAATGTCAAGTCACTCTGCTGCCCAAAATGTTTATGATTTCTGCTCGTCTAGAAACTAGTTAAAGTAATGTTAGAGACAAAGTGGCACTCTCTTTTTGTGATGCCTTCTTAATTAGATTTTTTTTTTCTTTTAATTGCTTGGTAAGGCATATAAATAAAAGAAACTATAGATTTTGGTGTTGAAAACAATGTGCGGTCTATAAAGCACAAAAAAATCTATGCTTTGCTTTTTTTTTAAATAAAACAACCTCTTGTTTGCTAATATTGACTTTCATTGTTCTCTGAAATCCATCCATCTTTGAGACTACAAGGATTGCTGATAATTATGCACTAAGGCCATTAACGGCTCGCCTATTTCTTTCCCACTCATCAACAAAAGTGGTAAGTGCTTGGAGATCCAACTGCATTTCAGTTCTTCAGTATGCTCTTATTAGCCTCAAACGATGCGCCCCGAATGACAGCTGTGAAACCTCATTGCCTCTGAACGAGGAGGCAGCACCCATCTCACGGAGCCACGGCTGTCCCCGCCCGGTGTGCACAGTGACGGAAAACACCTCTGCCACTGCAGTTGGCCAATGTTATTTTCAAATCAATGGAGGGAATGGGGCTACAACACGAGGAGCCGATTTGCCTGGTCAGGTTTGAAGGGATAGCGTTGGAGAGCTACTAAATTCAGCCTCTGTAAGCTGATGAAATGAGTTGAAATGAACAGCATTTTTTTTTTTTTTAAGGAAGAAAAAATTTATTTAACATCTTAACAAATGGGTTTGAAACATAGGGGCAGGCCTGCAAAGAAATTCAGGCTCCTAAAGGTGGAAGAATTCAGTGAGGTTTTGCAAAATGCCGCAGCATCTGCTCGGATGTTCGGGTGCTTGCACGCCGCCACAAATCGGGCGCGTTGTCCCTTGCTGTAGTCTCTGCCTGGCGGAAGTCAGAAATCCTCCTGAATGGAATGAACACGCCGCTTTGCCTGCACGCAGCAAAATTCCAAACGCTGCAGAGCGCCGGCAGCCGCTGGGCTGCCCGGGGTTTGGTGCGGGAGCTGCGCAGGCAGAGGAGGGTGGGCAGGTGGCAGGCAGGGGTGACCCCCGATACCATGCGTTTGCAGTCTGCCATCTCATATCTGTTACAGAAACACTCAGGTGTGGGTTATTTCAGGGATGCTCGCGTTCTTGCCGTGTCTCTAACCCTCCTGGGTTGCTTGAAGGTTTAAGGGAGCGCCCGGGGTTGCACAGGTCAGCGTGTGCTCCTGGTCATTTCTAAGGTGAAGACGAAATCTATCGCAAAAGCTCTGACGTTTGCATCCTTCTTTTGATTTTAGGCTGGACAACAGCGTTGGTGGGAGCAGGAAATTACGGTGAATGGAAATATTCAAAAGGGAGAATTAATTACCTACAACCTAACTGAGCTGATCAAGCCAGAGGCGTATGAAGTCCGTCTAACGCCCATCACCAGATTTGGGGAGGGGGACTCAACTATTCGGGTCATCAAGTATAGTGGTAAGAAGACCTTCGCGTACAAGCAAATGCCCCGCGGTGCATTCTGCGCAATTCGGTCTGCTGCACCGGTTACAGCTGCACTGGGTTGCACTGTGTAAACTGATCGCCAGTCCTGCAAATAATGCTGCAAGGGATAAGTGTGGGTTTCCAGGAAGGAGCGTTCTGGGTAGAAAAGAGAGTCTCCACCTCTGGGTAGCTTCACAATTTAAAAAAAAAAGGAAAAAAAAAAAAAAAATCTCTGAACAGCCAAAATGCAAAATCATATCGAAGTTTCTGTGAAATAAAGGAAAAAAAAAGAACCAATTAATGTTAGCTTCATGAGACAGCTCATTTCAAGAGTTTGTTCTTACTTAGAGCCCGTTGAAGAGCAATGAGTTTGGAAGAAAAAAATCTACAAAACACATAGTATTCTGAAGGTGTCACATCAGTGTTTTGATATAATCAAAATACTTTTTTTTTCCCCAGAATGAGCACTTTTTGAGAAGTTTTTATTTGAATATGAATGATTAAAAAAAAAAAAAGTGACTGTTTCTAGTCCTATGCAAGTGGAAAAGGGCATTTATACATTTTCCTCTAAAAGGTCATGCCATGACAAAGATTTGTCCACGTTAATCTAACAAGAAAAATACAGTATTCTTACATCCTTCCATTCAGTCTCCCAGCATTACCAGGAAGTAATTCCTAGAGCTCTGAAAAATCCCTCAGAATACTTTTCTTAGGGTATTAATGAACAACTGAATCACTTTTTTGTTTTTCTTCTGTAAAAATTACAAAGAATGGGCAAGAGGTACCTTAGAGAAGGTAGCCCTACTGAAGATATCATTGTGCAGTTTGCAACGGCAACCTGGTGTGCCGGGCGGAAAGTTTTATAGAATGGAAAAAGGAAAGTGTCTGCTGGGGGAGATGTTTGTAAACATGGAATCATGCAAGTATGAGTTTATCATTTGGGGACAGACTTTTTAATAGGGCCTGTTGTGACAGGACAAGGAGTAATGGTTTTAAACTAAAGAAGAATAGATTTAGACTGGATACAAGGAAGAAATGTTTTACAGTGAGGGAGGTGAGGCACTGGCACAGGTTGCCCAGAGAGGCGGTCGATGCCCCATCCCTGGGAACATTCCCGGCCAGGTTGGACGGGGCTCTGAGCACCCTGCTCTGGTTGGAGATGTCCCTGCTCGCTGCAGGGGGTTGGGCTGGGTGGGCTCTGAAGGGCCCTTCCCACCCAACGCATTCTGTGATTCTATGATTCTACCATGAGGAACCTTGCTCACCGGCAGGACAAAAGCCAGGTGCCACACAGGTCAAGTCACAGCTCACCATGTAGGTGCAATTGCTCCAGGAGCTGGAGCCAACAGTCATTAGTGCTATACAGATACCTAAGAGACCCCAAAGCAGGAAATCACATGCAGCAGAAAGTCCAAAAAGAACCTACAGATCAAGAAGCACTTTCAAAAATCATTATCAAATAGTGTAAAATAGCGAACAAATCTGAGAAAAAATTAAATGTGCATCGTATGTGCAATTCTTCATGATCAATGATCAAGGCTCAGCCCTACTCAATCTCATCATAAATTATTTTTATCACTGTGTTAATATCAAGGGAAAAAATTGCATTAAACAATCTTAAACATCAATTCTAAAGAACATAGTGGCACGTTTCACTAAATGCCAGATCTGCTAATGATGGCGATGGATGAATCTTAGCTTTCGCTTGTTACAGCAAAGAGTTTGCAAAGTCTGCTTTTCCCAAAGCGCATGAGAACAAGATCTCAATTAAAAGAAGGACTTGATTACTAAATCTGTGAACGTACAAATGAGGAGAAATGGCCATTCTGCTGCAATTCCTGTTGGACTTTAGCTCCTCATTGGGCCTTGTTACCCTAATAAGTGCTTATTTTCTGACACTAGTGGTAGGAGTCCGGTCTCTTTGGGGCTCCCCGCATGCACAAGGGAAAGACCCGGGGTCTTCCCGAAGGTGATCAGGAGCAGGAGCTTCATTCAGACTTTTGGGATTTCTCTGCAGCAATCCCAGTCTCTCCGTGCCGGATGTGATAGGGAGCCTTGTGTGTTCGCAGCCAGCTCGTGCCAGGCAGCCGCTGCCCACTTCGGTGCACCTCGACATCTGTCCAATGGCTTAAATACCGACCAGTGCTCCTATCACCATTTAGGGCACTCAATCACTACTGCTCGTTTTTGGTGGTGGTTGTACCCTGGCAAGTCTCAGGAGGTTGACTGAGGTCTCGGCGACGGCTCACAGCCGTGCTGAGTTTGAGGTTTTAAGGAATCATGACATGATTTACGTTTCTAGCCCCTGGCTGGCAGGAAGAACATTCCCATGCAGCATAAAAGGCGTATTTTGTCTACTGCAAATTTTTCTGCTAGAATCTGCCATTAGCGCAGATGTGAATAACGTCCCATTGCAAACGTGCTGATGAGGTGCCAATGCCAAATCCAGCCGCCCGGGAGAGAGGAAGCCAGTGCCTTGTGCCCCAGATGGGGAGATGCTTTTGGAGCAATACTCAGTGCTATTATCTGGTGCCGACAAATTCACAGCTTCAGAAATCGCGAGCCAGATGCTAATCAATAAGCTAAACCTAAAGTGACTTCCCTTTGAAGAGGGATCCCAGAACCACTGAGGCTTTGCGTGCTTAAAAACTGCATTTTATCTCAGCGTTCGTCCAATGACTATAGCGTCAGCAAACTGCTGCCAGGCTAATTTTAAGGATGTTACAGCTTCAGCTATAAAATAATGATATCACATACGTTATTATAGTGCAAATCCAATACTTATAATCTGAAATGCTGGAGCCTCAGAAAAGCAGTTACTGGGCTAGCGGGACGCGCAGCAGCAGGCCTGCATCGATGTAAGAAATAATTATAAACATTACCCAGAAAATAAAAGACATCATGCGAATGTTTCTTAAAAGGAGAACGAAGATAATTTTTTTATATTTTTCTCTTACTACATTTTTCTCCTATTACATTTTTTTTAATTGTGAGACCTCAGGCAAGGAGGGAAACATTTGAATTTTCACATTTTTCAGTGGGATTTTGTGTGTGTGTGCCTCTGTGTGTTCAGTTTTCATCAGTAGCCCAGAAGCACGCTGGCTTCTAGCAGCATCAGTCCTTCTTTCTCATCCCACCACTTTAGCAATACTCTTTCTGGAGGACCAGGACCCAGGACCACGTCCATTCAGGTCATGAATACCTCCAAGGATGGAGACTTCACTGTCTCTGTGGGCAACCTGTTTGGTGCTCGATCACCCTTAGAGTAAAAACCCTTTTTTCTGAGGTTTAAAATGCACCAATGTATTTGTATTGCTGGTGAGGATTCCCATGGCAAACATTTTTTCCCTTATTCTTTTAAACTTTAAGCAGGCTAATAGGATTTCATCACATTTTAAAGAAATGCAGTGTGAAAAGCAGATCAGACACGTAGTTAAAGTTGCTAAAAATGGTAGCAGTGTCTTTTGCCTTTAAGAAATGCATTAACTTTTACAGTTGAGCTTCACTTTTGTGCAAATAAAGGATAGATTGGCCATGCACTACCTAGATTTTACTTTGGCAGCTTAAGCTTGTCTGCTGTAGTAGGACAATCTTGGGTACTGCGCAGAATTGGTTTCTCAGAGTAGTTGCACAGTGTGTAAGGATCAACATGGCATTTCTAGAGTACTGGTTGTGTTTGCTGCCTTACTAGAGAGGAGAAGGTTTCTCCAGATTTCTTCCAGGGGATGAATCACCCTCTGGACATGCCCATATCTCTCCAGTGACTTTAGAGATGCTCCAGTGACACGCTTAGATGAGGTGTCTAACTTTTAGATCGCTAAAGTTAAGCCCCATTAATCCTACCTGTGAAGTCGTTTTTATTGGGTTACACTCCTTTGTACGTGATGCAGAGCACATCACCTTTTAAATTAAAACCCACAACTGGAGATTAACGTGGAAATTGTTAATGTATAAAAATAACAGCTTCCCATGTGCTAGCCTGCTGGTAGCCATCTGAATGTCCAAAATAAGGAGACTATTAAAGCAGGAAAACCTCAGTAATGAGCTCTTTACAGTCTACCCTGCCATCCCAAGTGGGAGCTGTAAATATAAAATAAAAACTCTGCAGTATCCAATCCCATGAATCAAAAACTTACCCATGGTGCAAACATTTCATAGGGAAATCCCTTGCCTGCCATGAATTACTCTCTCCTCTGCACACCAAAAGGATGGGAGAAAAGAGCAATCATCACAGTAGGAGTGACATTGATAATTACAGCCAAACATCACTTGACAAATTCTTTGGTAGATACATATGTTACTCTGCTAGTGAACACAGTCTGCCAAGTAAATATAAACAAGGCAATTTAAGTAGCACTAATGAGTTTTGTAGCCTAATACAAAACAGATATGTCTCATAGTAACAGCAGATATGTCTCGTAGTAACAGTTTAAATATTATCTCCCTCACTTTACATAAATCTGTGTCAGCCTATTTGGTAAGAACTGGCTGTAAAGTCCTCCAACTACTCCGATTAAAACTTCAGCACGCGCTGGTTTAGATATGCACTTACGTTTAAATATTTTTAAAGTTAACCAGTGATTAAAGCAGCAAGTTTAGCTCCCTTCTGCGGAAAAAGCCAACAGCCCATTACTGCTCTTGGTATGTCGAGCCAGCCCCTTGCGACAGCGGCAGGCAGCTGATGGTGGCCAGGCGCTTTGTAGTCTAGCTTGCTTATTTTCGTATGAGATCTAGACGCTCCCCAGATTCTGTATGGAAGAAGAGTATATAATTGGCTATTGTTTATTGCTATTATTCTTGTTATTCTTGTTATTATAGTTCTAGCCCCAGAAAAATAAAATTGGTACCAAATAGGACATAAATTATGTGATTTATAAGTTTGCACCGGCATACATTTCCAGTACCATCCAGTGTTATAAATAGTAAGTTAGGGCAATTGCTATTATGGGAGAAAGAAAGCCTTGTCCTTGTAGAGTACCAATATTTACAGTGAAGATTGTTTTTCCCGTGCAAACCAAGTGCTTAGAGGTATGGAGTCTTGATCTTCATTAAAGCTTTTGGGTGCTGGTTGTAATTACCCCAAGCAACCAGTTTCCAGTGGTAAAAAACATAGCAGCCGAACACCTAGCATGCTTCTACCTACCTCTGGCTTTATGTTCTTCATAGTTAGGAAAGCTTGGTTTGCAGCTAGTTTTTTAAAGGAAGGACATCATGTTGCAATCTCTGAAAGCCACCTCACTTGCAAGCTGAACAAATGTTTGTGTTGGGAAGGATCTGCGGGAAATGTAACTGTCTTTGCATGTATGCAGTTACAAGAAGAGGGGCAAGCATTAAGAAAAACCATTCAGCCCACTTTCTTCTGCTCTGACCTGCACAAATACAGACCACTGAAAAGCAAAATCATCCAACAAACTGAAATTCCAGCAGGTTTTTATTCTCTGCTTGCTGGAGGAATGGCAGGAAGATTAAAGAATCATCTGTCTTGGCTCTAACCAAGCTCAAACATTTCATGACACTTTGTTCTCCTCCCGAGATTCTCCGCCGGCAAAACCTTCCCGCCGGCAAGAGCCAGGGTCAGCTGAGCAGAGCAGGGATAACCCTCTGAGGTGCACAGATTTTCCAGATGTTTCGAAGTCAGCCTTGGGAATTTAATCCCTCAGTCATCCATTAATTTCCCTTTATGCCTAATTTAACTTGCTACCTGTGCGTCTTGCACGCGGCAACCTTCCCTTTCCGCAGTGAGAGCCCGAGCCATTACACGTTGTCTTAGAGCAGCGTGCTGTATTACACCCAAGAGTGGGCTTGCTTTTTTTTTTTTTTTTGGTTTGGTTGTGGTGGGTTTTTTTCCTTGTTTATGGTGTTAGATAAGTTCAGCCTAACTGCTTTAATTTGTTTTTTCTACTTTTGTCAATCAGTGTGAACTGAAGCTAGCTTGGCAAGGAGCCTTTTTTGCTCTGCTGTGAACAATCTGAATAGCATGACTCAAGGTTACGTGCTGATGATAGTTTCCATAAAAGCCCGTGCGTTTAGTTACAAATCAAGCATCAGTAAATGTAGTTCCCGGCAATTTCAGCTAATTCCAAGTTCAATCACTCAAGAGTTTCACAAAATGAATGTTTCTTGGAGAATGAAAGGTAATTTGTTGGTAAAAGCTATGAGGTTATCTAATAGAATGTAATGACTAAGTTTCTTGAAAAGATTGCACTGGGGCAAATCACTGTTCATTTGTTTCAGAGAAGGCAAGATAAAAATGAAGAGTTGCTAATTTAGAGCTCTTTTGAAAACTGCAGATTGAATCTAGAGCCATGCAGAAGCCGTGGCTGGGGTCACAAACCAAGAGTTCATGTCTGTAAACATGGCGTGGGAAGGGCAGCAAGGAAAGATGCAGCAACCCTCGTACTGAAGTCTGGCATTACCAGATGTACCCGTTATTTGGAGATAAAATTTTATTTCCAATCTTCTGTTAGTAACATGCAATTCCAACTGTGAGCTTAGCATCGTTCTGTTTCTCACACGTTAAAGGCTTACAGCAGAAGGCCCCTGTTTCCTAAGTCATCCCTCCTCAAATTTACCCTTCTGCAAACAGGTAGCACAGAACTACAGACTAATTTCTCATTCAACCCCCATTTCCCGTGTTTGGCATTGTACAGGTTACTCTGGACCATAGCCTGGGTAGCCATTCCCATGATTAAGGTTATCTGTAGGCACTACTGAGGTCTGACTGTCATTCTGTTCCAGCCTATTAAGGTATTAAGTAGATGAACTTCAATATTAAAGAACTGTGGATGTGGAGGGTTTTTGTAATTTTGCCAAGGGTCTGTGAAATAAGAGTGCCACTTTTATCAGCTTCCCCAAAGAGTCCCGCCATGTCACGCAAGGCATTGCACACACCCATAAAAGAACAGACAGAAATAATATTTTTTGGCAAAGTTATCTCCAGGCTTCTCTGCAATGTTAGCAAAATTATTTTTGATGCCTCCCAAGGTGAGGGGTGAGCATGGACTGCTCCTGCCATGGGGTGGGGCGTGGGCAGAGGTGGGATGCAGGGGGGTGGGATGCTGCACTGATGCTCCTCTGCCTCTGAGAGCACAGCCCCAGGAGAGCAGCACCTGGGACCCAGCTGTGCTGGTTGTCCCCGTCCTGGTCACCGAATGTGGCTCCTTCAGCAGGCACGGGGTGTGCTGGCAGCTTTTTAGGACAGCACACTTCATCTTCTTTTGTTGTCTTCTTAAATTTCTTTAAAGTATATCCTCCCTAGAAGAGGGTTTATGTGCCAGAAGACTCTCATGTTTTTTCTTGGTTGTGTCTCTTGGTCTAATTGAGATCAAACCTCTTCTCACAAACTTGCTGTGCTTATGTTTTCTACCTTTTAGAAGGAAAATTGGCATTTCTAAAAAGAATGCAAGTGCTGTCTGTTTGTTAAGACTCGTGTGCACAGATATCTTAAATTGAAGAATAGTATTATTCATCGAGTAGACGGGTAATTCATTCTTGAACAATGTTAAAAGGAAATTTTAAGTGATAAGCAAGGTCCGATGCAGAACCTCTGCTTTTGATGAATTCATCTTTTCTGTCGTTTTTGTTGGATTCCTTTACAAAGGCATCACCCTGGGGTTCTGCTGTGCAGCTCTCTCCATCCTTACGATATCCGTGGCAATAATCTAGGTTTGATGCTTAATTACAGCATCTTGTTCCCCAAGCTGTGGGTACTAGCAATGGAGCGTACACGTCGTGGGTAGGCGAGGCTATTGTTTCTCACTGAAATTGTTGCCTTTGGATTGCCAGGGAGCCACAAAATTTGCTCAAAAAGGAAGTTGCCAGTTTTGCTGGCTGTCTTGGTGCAAGAGCCATGATCAAGGTATTGAGGGGGAGGGAACAACGGGAAATTTAGGATAATCTGCATATTGATGAATTAGAATTTCTTCTTTGTGCTAATTTTATTTTTGCTCTGTCTTCCAGCTCCAGTAAATCCACACCTACGTAAGTATTTCTTTAACTTTTTAACTTTTACGTGTATGAAGAATTGTCCTTGCACCTATTTTCCCTTATAGTTAAAAAGTAAATGATAATTATTTCGCTTTCAGTTGCAGCCCATGGATTGCAGGGACCACCTTAGTTTTGCATGCAAGCTGGGCTGGCGGCTGAAGGTGTCGTTCCTCTTGTTCTGCCAAGGCGCTAAAGCAAGAGTAGATGGAGAAAGGAAAAATTATAGCTCCAGCTCTCATCTTTCTTTCCCACTGCCCAAACAGTTCATCTAAAGGAAATTACTAATGTTCTGAAATAACATCCATTTGTGGGTGTTGCAGCTCAGTGTGTATGGGTGATGCTGTGGTTTAGTCATGGGAGTAGCTAAATGCTGATAAACTAAATAGCTGAAAGTTCAAGTACTGTGTAGGCACTGTGTCTGCGCCTCAACAGGTATGGTAAAAATCTTGAAGGAAAAATCAGTTTATGAAATTTTCTGAATTCATTTATTCTTGCATAAGAACTACATTTGCAGTTCCTGAGTTATTTTGATACTTCCAAGGGTAGTCAGAAGCTCATCTGCAGCTTTAAAAGCAAAAGAAGAACGTTTTCTCATGCGGTGCACACAGGAATGATGGACCTCATTTGCACAGAGAAATGTGGAGACCAAAAGTGTAATGAGGGTGTGAAAGCGTTTAGACAAATTCACAGGAGACAGCTCCACAGGCGTGATTGAAAATGCAAACTCCGACTATGTATTCGCTCATGTGCTGGTGCTCGGGCACGGGGATGTTGCAGGGGAGAAAGGACTTCTCTTACAGTTTGTTCTTACACTTTTCCATGGGAACTAAATCCCTACAAATGTCAGAGGCAGGAGACGGGGCTGGAGCTTTAGTATGTCCCAGTTAAACCATGCTATTCCTGACAGTCCCCACATCTGTCCACTTCATGATTTTCTTCCACACCACAGCAAAAGAACGTTTTGCTGTGGGAACACATTCTGCCATTACTCTTGCTTATAATAACATATAAAAAAATAAAGGGAACGGGATTCTGTCTGCCATTATTACTGCTGTAGTGCAGCCGTAACCTGGCAGAAGAGCAGCACTGGGTCGTGCGAGCATCCTCTCTCTCCATCTCTCACCCATGATGGCTAAGCCTTTCTGTAAATTTTAAACTTATTTGCGGAAGATCTTGTGCAATGCATTAATAATTAAGCAGGGCTTAATTCAAAGCTCGCAGGAGCTGAAGCAACCACTCCCATTGACTTAAATGAGCGGTAGATGAAACCCTTGCTAATTAATATGTTAAATATATACTCTATGATGTTAAGAAAAAAATGCATTGCAATCCCAAGTGCTTCATGCTGTAGTCCTCTGTGATTTTAAGATCTGAAACTGTCTAATTTTCAAAATGTCTCTATAGCTCAGTTAAAAGCAACGGCTCTAGTAGGCGTGTGGTACAGTGCTGGTGGCATCCAAATTGCCCTTGCGACAGGGAGTGTGTCAGCTCGAGGGAGGGAGGGCACCCCTGGCAACCCGTCCACCATTTCCTTCACCTGCGTTCTGTCTGCCTCTTTCTGCGCTGGTGGTGATGGGAAAGTTTGCCTTCTGTAGGGTACCCAGCGTAATTTCTTTCAGATGAGCAAAGAGATGGTAAATTTTGGTTTGCTTTTTTCCCCAAAGACTTTTTGAGTGAAATCCATTGACAAGGAAGAAATCTAGGTCTGAAAATGCATTCAGACACTGAGCTGGAGAAAAGAGATTCTCTGTTCCATAACAAATTCGATCTGATCATTATCTGTTCTTTCTACAATCTCATTTTATTTCACTGCAAATACAGAGTGGATGATGATGTATACTAATAACATCAACCAAGTTCTGTTCTTTTCTAAACCTGTTGGGCTGAATTCCGATTTTATTTGCACCATTGGGAATGAAGAGTAAGAGCTGTATTCAGCTGGGACAAAACATCTGTATTGGAAACCGAAGTCATGTTCTTCCTGCTTCAGTTCATTGCATAAGTCCTTCCTCTTTATAAGACGCCTGCAATGCATAAGCAAGTAGCACTTGAACACTGAGATGTAGCCTCAGATCTACATCTTATTTTGTAACATATAATATAAAACATTTAATGTAAACCATAAAGATTTCATATCAATTAGTGCAACTAGATGTTACACCTGAATAATGGAAGAGATTGGATGGTAGAGAGTCATATTCAACTTGAATTTTATGGAAATACATGACAAAAAATCATACTACAATGAAGAACATTTCACCTTGAGAACAGTTTCAGACTTTGCCCTAATTGGCAATGAAATTATTAATAACCTGATTCCACCTCCAGATCTGGCATGTGCTTTGGCAAAAATTGACCACTACCTTTGATAGTAATTGGCACCATTGTTAATGCTTTCAGCAAACCGTAGTGGTCTGAGTGGTGTCATGAGCTGGAGCACCCATGGGTGCTTGGGGAAGAGCCGGCTCTTCCTCCTGCACTTGGTGTGCCCCGTTAATGAACAGGTCAGGACCATCCAGATCTATTTAAATGCTTCTACTTCTTGCATAAGAAAAGTACTGAGCTAATCCTGGGGAACCATTTCCCATTTTTATTCTTCTGCCATTCTTTTTGAGAAGTGTTTAGTGCCAAGAATATTTAGTACTAACCTTTTCCAGTGTATTCCAAATGGCAGAGTCCCACATGAAACCAGTGTTTTCCTATTAAATAAATGGCATACTTTTTACTTCACCTTTTTTTCATCTGGCCCGAATATTTTTTTTTAACTTGAAGAAAAAACTTTTGTTCTGCTGATGTGGAATCTCTTAATGAAGTTCTGAGGGCATGGTGCGACATGCAAATGCAGCTCTTAAGGTACTGGAGGGGCAGTGTTAGAAACTGCTGAATGGTAGAAAATGCTTTGTGTTAATTCACTTTGCTGCAGGACTGGATCTGGTACTCAGAACTTTTCTCTTTTAGTTACTGTTTTGCCCTTTAATTTTATCATACTGTGTAGAAGCGGCACCGTTTTTGCTATAGGAAGGGCTTGCATAAGTGGAGGTGGAAGTCAAATGCACAGAACACTGCGTAAACCAAGCAGCTTTGGAGCTCAAGTCACGCAAAAGGTATTCTTGCAGATGAGAGGCACAGCGGGCGTTTTGTTCAGAGTGCTTCATTCGAGTCCTTGTGTCTTTCAAGAGCTTTGTCACGGACTTTGTGTTATCTTTCTGGTCCTCAGGATAAGGACGGAGGTGTCTGTCTCCATCTATTCACGCGCTTCTCTATCGAAGGATTTTGGATGTAATCTGTGCACGTGTATTCCTCGTAGCCTCATTCTTTGATTTGCTCGTCTTTCAGGAAGAACAACAATCTACTTGTATTCCTTCTCTGCAGTGCTCATGATGGTGCTCCTCCATTGAATGATTCTGTATTTTGCCACTTCTTCAACATTCAAAATTCAGGATTCAGAAGAACTTGCTTCCAGAACCAAACTGAGGTGTTGTAGGGTCCTGAAATTGGCTCCCCATCATGCCAATGGTTATCAGTCATGTTGGCCAGTTAAGGTTGTGATTTAGGAAATCAATCCTCTTGGAGGACCTAATAAGATTGATGGATTTATTGAGAAATCAAGTCAATCTGCTTGAGGTGCTAATAGCCAAGGAAATTTCTATGGACTATTTTTGTGATAACCTGGTTTTAGAGAGTGGTGTTTTATGCTGGCTTTTGTGGAAGGGGTACAGTTTGTGTTGCTTTTTGCACGGGCAGAAACAGATTGAGGAAGACTTGGAAAGCACTGCTAATGCACCTTGTGGGTTGGAATGAATTTTTCAAGCCCAATTGTTCAGTCTGCAGTATTATCTGATTCTAAAGAAGTTTCAGACCAGAATCCTTGCTTAGCAGTACATATCCAAGCTAAGCTCCAGGTCCCTCTGTCTTCACTGATTTGTAGTGAAGCTCTAGTGGCTTAAGTGGATTTATAGTTCAGCAAACCCCCAAACCTGCAAACATTTATATACCTTCTCAATTTAGCACAGATTAATAATCCCATGATACCTGGTGTTAGAGTTCCTCATAACAATGAATATAAACTGCACCCCTGTAAAGAAGGCCGTAGCTGACACAGTATGCAGACAGCTGCATTCTCCCTAGAGAAGAGAGATTTGCTTGTTTTCTCAGATAAATCAATTGACTTTGCTGGAAGAGTAAACTCAGCTGGAACTGTTCATGTGCATAAAATTAAGCTTTTGCACATTTTACTACATGGGGCCTTATCCTGTTTTGAGGTCAAAACTGAACCTTGAAGTTTTGATTTGTTTTGGTTCCTAAATGTCTGACAGTAGGACTTTCTCAACCCATCATAACCCACAGGTAGGATCACTGGACTGGTGTGTCTCACAGACCTCTGTTTCACAAAGAAGAAGATCCCAGGAATTCTGTCTGGGTTCCTGGCATTTTTGTTCTTTAGGCCTAAACTTTTGTCACTTGACCTCAAGTACATAACAGAAATCTTAGCCAAGGTCTAGGAGGTGTCTTCAGGACATGATACAGTCACCTCTCCTGCCCATATAGGTTCAGGTACACCTAAGCCTTCCTCCCAGGTATTTGTTTAATTGGTTCTTATAAGCCAGTGATGGGAACCCAATGCTCTTCCTGAGCAATGCGTTCGTGTGCTTCACTGTCCTGATTCTTAGAGATTTTCTTCATTTCTAGCCTAAAGCTCCTTTGCTCTCATTTTAGCCTTTACTTGCTTTCCCATCCCTCTTGAAAACCAAGGATAGTTTAGGAGATGTCACTTGGAGACAATGTTTTAATTTTGAAAAGTTGCTGTCCTCTTTTCCCTAATATCCTTATCCCTACACCAAAATAACCCACTTCTTTCTTTTTCCCATGATGCATGTTTTATGGACATGCTGCCTGTTCTTCTCAGCTTTTTAGAAAAGCTACCTGGGTAAGAAGAGACAACGTCTCTAAGGGCAGTTGTATACGTGTGAATATGTGAGGAGGAGCTATACAATAATATTTGAATATAATTTCAAGTAACACCAGCACAGATTGATGACTGATTGTTTTGGGTTTTTTTTCACTGGGGTTACTGCAAAAGAAAACATACACTGAACACTGGAAAGTGACGTAAAATAAATGTATATCTATTTTCCAGTGCTGTTAATAAGGATCATCCCACAATGTGTTTGCTATAATTGACAAGTACTTTGACAAACAAGCGTAGGATGAATAGTTTCAGCCACTAAATTTCTGCTCATTTGCTGCATTGGCAGGAGAGTTCCACTGTGGGTTTGAGGATGGTAACATTTGCCTTTTCACTCAAGATGACACGGACAATTTCGACTGGACAAAACAAAGCACTGCCACTAGAGACACAAAATATACCCCGAACACGGGGCCAAACGCAGATCGGACTGGCTCCAAGGAAGGTAAGATCCAGTAGCGTGCCTGATCCCCCGGCACCGGGAGCTCTGCGGCTCTGTTGGGGTGAGGGACAAGTCCAGGACAGCCAATTCAGCCAGCTACATCGTTTTTCCTAATCATACCAAGAATAAGCACAGCTCAAGGACTTCTAAAAGGAATTGCCAGTGCTGAGACGTGTGGCTGGTCCCAAAGCACAACCCACTAACGCTGCCATTAACCACCTTGAATTGTTTCTATTGAGCCATTCTCAAAGCAAATGCTTTCAAGTTACAGTCTAGTGGGGAAATATTCTGGCACATCTTGAAATATTCTTGGTTTATGTCATTTAAATCCTAACTTGGGCTCTCTCAAGACTGTCACAATAAGATTTTTTTTTTTTTTTCCCCCATTTTTACTTTGGGTGTTGCTGAAATGTGTAATTTTCAATCTGCTGCCCCACTAAACAGAAGCGTGCCATCTTGACTGCAGTGTATATTTGCATTTGAAAAGTCAGACATATTGTGCTGAATTTATCAAGTACTGCAGTAACTCATGCTATTTTATTGTACGCCCCCTGCTTGCACTACCAAAGGGGAAAAAGATCATACTGCATTGTATTTGCTTGGTTGGATTAAGTAATTACTATCTCTGTTGTTGGCACAGTCCAGGATCAGAATAAATTAATATTGTCTTCTTTCATGAAAATTAGCTTTCAAACATGTGATTGACTTGACCAGCTGAAAATACTCCTTGAAAGGTTTCCATCAAGATATTTTCCCTTTATTTTAAAAGTCTTCCCTGCTCCCTGCTTACAGGAACAAATTGCGACCTTGAGACCGAAGTCTGAACCCCGTCATAAAGATTTTTTTCTTTTCTTGTGCATAGAAAATGTTACATCGATTTGAAGTTGTTTACGAGTACTGACCTGCTAGCCCTGATTTTACTCTTGGTAGAAAACATGTCTTTGAAGCAGTTGTGGATAACACATGGGCTTAATGCAGAAGAAATATGTCCCAGAAACCATGGTGATGTCAGATGAATGTGAAAAATGAATCAAGATGCTTGATAGCCTTGGTGTCTTCCTGCATGTATATGTGTTGGATTTTGAAGACTGCAACCTAACAATTTCCCTTTGGACTTTCCCTAGGTTTCTACATGTACATTGAGACGTCACGCCCCAGGCTGGAAGGAGAAAAGGCCAGACTTGTTAGTCCTGTTTTCAGTGTCGCTCCAAAAAATCCTTACGGAGCTACGAACACAGCCTATTGTTTTAGCTTCTACTATCACATGTATGGACAGCACATAGGTGAGAGAAAGCCAATGACCTTGTCTTTTCACTTTGGGAGAAATAGCAGGAGAAATGTCCGCTTGTATGAAACGAAAGGACGGGAGGACTGCCAACACCTGCAAGGGCCAGTTGCAAGCAAAGCTGGCAAGAGAGGTGCCTGATAGTGTCCTAATTGCTGTAAAACTGTGTTTTCCACTAATCAGCACGCTAGCAGGAGCCCCTCTTAGAGCTGGGAAGTGTTTCGTGCACGCACGAGGTTTTGAGCAGGGAACTGTAGAGCGTGAAAACAGAAAAGGTGATATTTGCAAGGACTTTGCCTGATACTAACACAGTGTTTTGAGTCACTCCTCGCTAGATTCAGGATCAAGCAATTAGCGGCAGCACCCCTCGTGTGCTGGCAGCTGGAGTGGCACAGCCTGTGTGCGATGCGGCAGCACACGCAGGTTCCTTTGTAAAAGTCATGAACAATTCCCTCACAAGCTGTGGGAGTATATATTTTCAAGGTATATCTCTACGTCTATTTTTAGTCATAGCACTTTTCAACACACACATTTAATTTCTTCACGTAGTATGAAAAAAGGGTGTGGGAATATATAAAAGTAGAAATGATAGACAGCCAATTTTTATGAATCCTGTAAATCCCTGTGGGGTGCTCCGTGCTTACCAGTGTGTCAAGAGGCTTTCCAGTGCCAAGCTGACCTGGCTTGATGTATTTTTATATATATTTCAAGGGCAAGCGCATCCTCACAGTGCATTCTGGTGGTTGCTTTGGGAAACCTTCGCCTGCCTCCGGGCAGAGTTCAGGTTTTAAATAGAGCAGACAAATTCACTTAGTTTTTCGTTAGTTGTCTCAACACTGCTGAGCACGTGAACGCAGCCCCAGGTCTAAATTCTCCTGGATCTACATTCCAGTGGGTGCTCAGCTGTTTTTCGGAAGGAAGCGATCAAGCCATGCCATAATTAGTGGAAAAAATATAAACTGCCCTATATGGTTATGACCATATGCCAGACTATTTCTGGTATATGACAGTGAAGGAAAAAGTTACAAACATAAAGGGTCAAAGACTTTTTCTGGAATACCTTAGGGTTGGGATAAAGTATAAGAAAAACAGTCATGGAGGCTGTGTCCACAAAACAGTTGCCTCTCATTGGTACAATTTTAGTTTTTTCCTAGGCTACCTTTTCAGTAAGTGTCTGTCCTTAGCTTTTTTGCTGAGATTGCCCTTTCTTGTTTATGTGTAATTTCTTGAATCGACATGTATAATGCTGGCTGATGAAGGAACTGACCCACAGGCGAAGATGGTGACAATGTTGATTAGTGATCATAGTTACATAGGCTTTGTTCATGGCAATGTGGACACCTAGTTGTCGAAAACCAAAATTGCTCAATATCACTTTTGTTCCTCAACGTTAAAAAATATAGTTCCCGTCATTTTAGCTAATGTTCAAAATTATCTTCTTTTGAATGGCTTTGTAAAAAATTACTTGTTATTCTGTCTTTTAAGAGCAGACTGACAGAAAAATAGTAAATTAATAACATCAGCCGTGTGTTTGAATGCACGCTTAAACATGCCTTCTAAATTCAATATTTTAATTCCTCGTAATGACAAAATGTTATGAAACACATGAGAATGCAACATGCACACAAGAAATAAATTATGAAATCAGCAAAGACATGCTATTTGATTCCCCAGATGTGAACTCTATCACTGAAATTGTTCACATGAGGATAATGAAAAGAAAAACCTAATGAGTAATATTCTAAGGTTTCAATGATTCAAGCAAATGGTTATTGTATGTATAGTTGTATTGATGAGGTAACTACTTGCATGAGGTTTTAAAGGTTTGTGGTCTTGGACATTACTTTGGGTTAGGAAAGGGATTATTATAATATGATGATTTGCTCAGACAAATCAAACCTAATCAGGACACAGTGTTTCAGATGATGCACCCTTGTGGTAAGGATGGCCACCAGCCTCCTGGGCTGCCTCAGGCAGAGTGTGGCCAGCAGATCGAGGGAGGGGATCCTACCGCTCTGCTCAGCACTGGTGAGGCACAGCTGGGGTGCCGGGTCCAGTGCTGGGCTCCCCAGGACAGGAAAGACATGGGCTTACTGGAGAGACTCCGGCTCAGGGCCACAAAGGTGATGAAGGGACTGGAGCATCTCTGCTATGGGGAGAGGCTGAGAGGGCTGGGACTGCTCAGCCTGGGGAGGAGAAGGCTCAGGGGGATGTCATAGAATCACAGAATCGTTTAGGTTGGAAAAGACCTTTAAGATCATCCAGTCCAACCATTAACCCAGCACTGCCAACTCCACCACTAAACCATGTCCCTAAGCACCACATCCACACGTCTTTTAAATATCTCCAGGGATGGGGACTCAACCACTTCTCTGGGCAGCCTGTTCCAGTGCTTGACCACCCTTTCCGTAAAGAAATTTCTCCTAATATCCAATCTAACCCCCCCCGGTGCAACTTGAGCCCATTTCCTCTCGTCCTATCACTTGTCACTTGGGAGAAGAGCCCGACCCCCCTCCCTGCCCCCTCCTGTCAGGAGCTGCAGAGAGCGATGAGGTCTCCCCTCAGCCTCCTCTTCTCCAGGCTGAACACCCCCAGCTCCCTCAGCCGCTCCCCACCAGCCCTGTGCTCCAGACCCTTCCCCAGCTCCGCTGCCCTTCTCTGGACACGCTCCAGCACCCCAATGTCCTTCTTGTGCTGAGGGGCCCCAAACTGGACACCGCATTCCAGGTGCGGCCTCACCAATATGTATGAATACCTGAAGGGAGGGTGTAAAGAAGATGGAGCTCAGACATGCTCAGGGACAGGACAAGAGTCAATGGACACAAATTGAAATAGAGGCAATTCCATTTAAACATAAGAAAAGATTTTTTTTTTTACTATGAAGGTGATCAAACACTGGCACAGGTTGCCCAGAGAGGTTGAGTTGTCTCCATCCTTGGAGATATCCAAAATCTGATTGCACATGGTCCTGGCAACCTGCTCTAATCTACCATGCTTTGAGCAGGGGTTTGGACAGTATGATCTCCAGAGGTGCCTCCAACCTCAATGATTCTGTGATTCTCTGTGAAATATTTAATTGGTAATATTTTTTTTCAGGAGAGTTCCATTTCTGTTAAGGATTAATCCCCTGTGGATAATTCCAAATCTTATTGCTAAAACAGATTGACTGGTTTATGACAAGCTGTTAGAAGCCTTGACCCTTCACTGCTGTAGAGGGTACTTCTTATCTCCATCTGGGAATGAGCGCTGCCAGTCAGGGCACCGTTGGCTGTAGTATGCACTGCCAGCTCATTGATTTGTTCACAAGAGCAGGGTAGGAGCTGCTAACTGAGACCTCGATATGATCTTTCTGCTGAAGGCTCTCCCTTTTGAATAACCTTGAGCTGCTGATTCTTGACCTGACTTCACTGAAAATTTGAAATGTCTTGCAGGGGAGTTTGGCTTAAATAAATTCCAGCCTGTCCTTCCTTCGGCCTGGGGACAACATGTTCAGGGAAGATACATGGCCATTAAACTTTGATTTTTCATCCAAACTGCTGTAGCATTGTTCACCAGACTTTGGTACTGCAAGTCAGAATTTCCGCTGGGGGGCTTTATTCTCCCTAGTTACCATAAGATTTCCAAGCAGTATTAGGGTCGTTATTCCATTGCCTCAGGGGCAAAGTTTCCAAAACAGTTTCGGTGCTCATCAAAACGCTTCTGCATTTCCAACAGAAATTTCTGCATTTCAGGTCTTTGGCGTCTCTGGAGAAGAGGCTGAACATTTCTGTAGTGATAAGGAGAGGTGCTTGGGTGTCTTCGCAGAGAGCAGGGCACCGATCTGAGATTAGCACCTACGCTACGGCACAGCTCTGACGAGATAAACAGGGACCTACATCCCATGCCATGGTAGTTAGATTCAGAAAGATAAAGCGTGTCTTTCCCTGATATAGGTGGCTCTTACTTACAAGTCAGATTGTAATTCCTGACAGATCACAGAGCTAACTCTGAGAGTGCCGGCTGCCAGGGAAAGCGCATGCGCTTCGCTCCACATCCTTCAAAAGGAGATGGTAGATTATCCCTGAAGCATAAGAGAAATAGAAGTTCCCATTACTTGATTTGCAGCAAGCAATAAGCCATTGTTGGGGAGCAAGAAAAGGAAGAGTCACTGTCCTTACTGTGTCTCTGTTGAGACAGAAAGAGGCTGTAATTCCATTATACTTGTCACCATCTTTTAAAACAATCTATACTTCCAATTTTTCCATCTGCACCCCAAAATGGGGCATTTCTAATTGATGCTCCAAGAACAATAATTTTTCTTATCATTAGAGAGCGTCCGAAAGAACAAAAAGTGGAAGCAAAACGTGCCGTCAGAACACACTGCGAAAGCTGTTTGTGTTCGCACAGTGATGAGCGCTCAAAATGTCACCCCGGTGTTGCAGCTGGCAACGTCTCCGGAGCACCCTGCACTCTCTTAGCAGGATGCTGTCAGAAAGTAAACTTTATTCCTTAATCCATGGTTGTTACACCTGCTCACTGTTTCTGTCTCCTACTCAAGAGTCCCGTCATCACCCATTTCTCTGGAGTTTGGAATAGTTTGAAATCTGTAGATGAATTCTTGCTGGACACACCTCAGTGTGAACCCTACAGCCAACCCGTCCTCCTCCACAGCATCAGCTTTGCAAAGGCCATGTAACTTTTCCAAAACCTTACTGGCAGAATTTCAAGGCTAAACATCCGTTGCAGGTGTCATTAGTTTAGTTTTCAGCGACGTTTTGGGCAGGAGTGTGTGCGTATCTAGCAGTGAGGGGCAGGCAGGTACCTCCGTACTGCCCAACACGCTGAGCAGCGGCGGAGCACATCTGGTACAGTAATGGCGATTTTGCATTTTAACGAAGATGCCTATCGTTCTGCTATTAATCTGAAGAAATTCTGTGACACAGAGAGGCTGAGTACGCTATGAACAATCTTAGATCTCTGTAACCTCAGCAGTGATGGCATGACATGCTTTTGATAGCTAAATTATTCAGTTATTCCAAACAGCCCTGCAGCATGGGCTCTATCAGCCTGCACAAACAGGTGAAACGATTAGCCAGCTATTCATCCCTTGCTTGATATGGGCAGTGATTTTTGTCTTTAAGAAAAATAGCATTATATATAACTTTATTTTTGAAATTTAGGTAGTCTTGTCCAAGCCCCTGCCTTTTTTCACACCACAGACCCAGCACAGTTGTCACAAAAAGTCTTGGAGAGAAGCAGGTGGGAAGGAAGGCAGAACTGTTTAATCTGAAGAAGACAAATGTTGCCCAAGAGCTGTTGCTGTTTGGAAGAGGGCTGAGGTTGAGCAGCTGCTTTCTGCGAGCAGCCCTGCCACGTATCACTGGGCTGGGCTGCAGGGCTGCTCCAGGGAACCCTCCCGAGCATTTCCCTCCTTGCAAAGCCCTTTCTGTTTCAGGTCTTTTTTTGTTTTACCTGGTAGCGTGCACGTAGGCAGAGACAGACTATCCTTTCTAAAAGCCGGGATTCCTTTGTGCTGCTTCTGCACCCTCCCCTGCATTTGAAAAATAAAATGCTGCAGTGGGAGGCAGGTGGGAGACACGGTGCCGCCCAGTCGCTCTGGCGAGCATCGCTTCCCCCACCTCCTTCAAAGAAGATGTATGGCCTCATTCTGGGCACCCTGGTGAAATAGCCGTGATGAGAATATTTGCTGCTCCATTACACGTTTAGCCTTATGTCTTTCAAGGCACTGGGTTTTGCTATTGCTAGAAATAAGAACTTTTTATTAGCAGGAGCTGAGTCACTGTGCAGCTGCCTCAGATCTGAGAGGTTTCATTGCAAATATAATTTGTGTGAGCTTCCCAGCTGCCATGCCAAACTCCCTAAAAAAAGTGGTCTTGCATGAAGCTGACTCACTGAACTTTCTCCAATGAAGGCAAATGCAATGATTTACAAAGTACCAAGAGACACCACTGCCCCACACCTCTGCAGATAACAGTGGTGAGCAAGAAGGAACAAAATCTCCAAACTATGTGAATTACTGAACCCTGCCAAATGGAGTTGATGATTTTGCTGTCTCTTGCTGCACCAAGACAGCCTGGCTTCTGTCTGTGGTCTGAGGCAGGGATGTTAATGAGAGAGAAGGGCTGCCAAATGCAGACGATTCTGTTACTTATTGCAAATAATGTCTGTGCTGGAACCATAACTTGATGGTTGTTGGTGGGGAAAGACCTAGGGCTGTGGGTTTTTTCTCCACAGTGAGGGACAACATTTCCAAGGTTATTTGAACTTAGACGATTATGTTGTCCTTCAAAGATACTCCTTAGGAGTAGTAAGGGCATCACATCTATCTCTGAGAAAGGTTTTCCAGGCCCTGTGGCACTCCATTAGAAGCTGGACAGCCTTTATAAGCGAGAGCTGAGCATAAGGCAACCAAGTTGCTTATTTATCCTTGGGTTAGGAGGTTATAAACGCCTCATCTGCACTAAAGCACAGAAAAGTCTTTTTTTCCCATCTCACCCTGGGAAGCCTCATGTCCTTCCTGGGCTGCAGGGAGCAATGGGTGCAACTGCCCTGCCCGCAACAGGGGAGCACGCTCCCTGCGCACTCGCTTTGCCTCTGCTGTGAATTCACATCACCAGTTCGTGGTGTTCCTAAGTTGTAAAGTTTTTGAATATAAGACAAGAAACTCTCCACATCTACTCAGACCTAGCAGAGGCGCACGCAAAATGGGAAAGGGGGTGAGCAGAGGACTGCTGTTGTACCCAGCCCAGCATCTCTGCTCCATCAGAAAGCCTAACCAATTCCAGTTCTCCACCTCTCTTCTAGGAAGCTTGAACGTTTACCTGCGGTTGAAAGGTCAGACCGCGATAGAGAACCCATTGTGGTCTTCAAGTGGAAATAAGGGACAGCACTGGAACCAAGCCCGCGTTAATATAAACCCCCCGACTTCATTTCAGGTAATGGCTTGTGCATTGCACACCGGGAACGGGAGTATTTGGGTTTCAGAGTGGGGGCCCTGTGCACACTGACCCTTTCCTTCTGACACAGGATTTCACAGCTTCATTTCAGCTCTGAAAGCTGCTTTATGGACAGATAATTGCTCTCCTTGCTGTAAATAGGCGAGCACCGTAGAGCTTAATAATGCACACTTTAATGGCCGAGCAGCAGCTATTTGCTTGAAGACAAAATGTCTTTCAGTTTTTAGAAGACGCTGTTGGCCAATATAAAACATTTTTTTTATTTCAGATTAGCCACTGGAATACAAAATTACTTCCTGTGAAAAAATATTTAGGGTCCACGGTGCAGTGACTGTGTTAGAGGTCTCTTGAAATACATGCATTTTCTGCAGAAAAAGGATGATGTCTGAGCCTTTGCTGAAAGGCACCAAAGCAGCCGCGCTGCCTGCATGAAGCTCCTGGTACGGCAGAGCTGCACGCCTCATTCACTAGGCTTATGCAAGTCATGACAGGTTTTCACACATTTCATTTTTGGTTTGACAGTGAGATGCTGATAGACTATTATGGGCAGTTCTCATTCACGCTGCGAGCTGTTTGTAATTGGAACAGACCCAAAAAGGCAGCTGCTGCCAGCAAGCCCTCGTGTGTTTGAGGCTGGGGGTATCGTCATGGAAGACGGGAGTCACAAGCTGTGCCCTGCAGTGCAGTGCTCTCCAGACTCCTCTGTCCCCTCTCTGTAACCTCCCGGTCCCCTGAGGGAGACGATGGCTTTTGGGAAAGAGAGTCATGCAGTGCAAGTCAAAACTGCTATCTTAAACATGCAGATCGGGATTCGCTTTATGGATAATTACTGATCCTGACCCTTTGTTTTTATTTCCATGCATGAAAGGCAATGACAGAGGAGAAATGATTTGGCATATGTGATCGCAGAAGCATTGCATGGGGGAAAATCAGAGAAAAATTGAGGGAGTGGGATATGTGAAGTATAGCGCTATGTGATGTTTGAGTGGAACGAAGTGGCAGAATTGGGGAGGAAGAGTGCAGAGTAGAGGAATACGAGTGTTGAAATACACTTAGAGCATGGGGCCAGGTACAAGGGAGGTGATCAGAGTGAGTGAGTTTTGTATTGGTGAAGTCGGGATAAATCCAAAAAGTCTGAACAGTGAAGGAGAGAAAAATGGTTCAGTATCTGAACATAATAAATGAACTGGTAAAGGGAGACAAGAGATGGCTGGGGAAGCTGAAACCAACGTAATCACAGTTGTGTCTGAGAGGGATTCCTGAGGCCTGGGCCAGTCTTCAGCAGAAGCAGGGGAAGGATGAGGACATCGGCTCCGGGCAGAGAGATGCAAAGGATTTGGCACCAGCAATGAAGGAAACTGGAGGAGGGTGATGGGGTGCAAACCACGGGTCACCTCATCGGCATGGAGAGGAAGGCATGGGTTTATAGAATCATAGAATCATAGAATCATTTAGGTTGGAAAAGACTTTTAAGATCATCCGGTCCAACCATTAACCTACACTACCAAGTCCACTCTAAAAGTTTGGATGGAAGGGCAAGCTGGGGTGTCTGCCTTGCACGGGGTCAGCCGGGGTGAGGCATCGGCAGAGCAGCCGGAGGCCACAGCCAGCAGCTCCCGCTACCCGGGTTGCTGCTTTCACCATGGAGTCTGAGCATCAGCCCTTGCACGGGGCCCCGTTGCTTTCGGAAAAGTTGCAGGGGTCACTTCTGCTACTGGTGCACCTCAACTCACATTGCCTTAAAACCATATTCACTGGTGCCGCTGGCTGGCGCACAAAATGGAAGCTCCTCTGCTTGGCTATTTTTCACCTTTCACATTGTCGTGTTTAAAGGCTTCAGCATAAAATGAATGTAAAGCCATGAAGCTCTGCACCAATATAACAAATAAACGTCAGAGCGGTTGGAACCTTAAATTACAGCTCTTGCATCAAGCAAACTTTATTTTCCATTTAGGATTCTAAGTAGGAAAGAATATTAACCTCCCAGTTAAATTTAAGGAGAGTGAATTGAAGTGAATCTTTGCAGTAAAACAGTACACTGACACAGAAATTAAAACTTTTTATAGGTTAATTTATATGAGTAAGAGTGCAGCCCCGATTTGTTTTATATCTTCCCAGTCTCTGTGATATATAACAAAGCTTCTGTTGTGAAGAACTGAGAGGACTACAGTGTTTTGAATCAGAAAAAGTATTGCATAAAAGCTATCTTAGTAAGATAGTCACTTAATTAAGTATTTTTAAAGGATAAATACACAAAAAAAAAGAGAGCGAGTGGAAGTGATACATTGCATACTGGCATCTAGGAAGGTGTCAATTTTAGTTCAGATTGGAGCAGAAGCCCTACCACTGCCTTCAGCTACACTTTCCTCGACACCTTCTTGTGCCAAAGACATTTTTTGCAAGGGAGGGCTTTTCTGCATTGAGGGGCTGATCTGCCCTTAAGTAAATGACCCTGCTGGACCACTGAGATTTTCAGCCCCTTACAGCGAGTGTAAGGGGCTTAAACCCTTGCCATCATGCTTCCAGTGGGGTCATTCATGAGGCTCCTCCCTACTTCTTACTAGGGCACTGGCCGGGAAGGCAAAATCTGTCTGAAATGCTGTTGAAGAAGCACAAGCTGAATGCCCCGGAGATGCTCGGGATAACTCTGGAGGCACTATTGGGGCTTATTTCCATTTCCCCTTTGCTGTACGCATAAGCCCCTCTATCCTCCAGCTAAATGCAGTATTTTTAACAACAGCTTTGTCAAGTCACGGGCTTGCAGATAATAGGTTTTGCGGGATACTGATAGGGGATTCTGATCATCTGGCACCTCCTGCAAATCGGTGTGAACTGCAGGCTGGATTGTGCTCCGTGCCTTGCCAACACTCATCTGCGGTGATTTGTTCTGAGCATGTGGCCAAGCTGGCTAATGGCAACCCGTCTCAGGGGCCCATAAAACGCACTGCCAAATGCAGATTTTAATTAAATGCTGGCCGTTGTATTTGTATAGAGTCCTTTTGTCTGGATACAGTGTTTTTCGTTATCAGGAAAGATTTGACTTTAAACTCTGTTCACTGGTTATATGCCTGCTGCCAAGGAGCGGGAGGGCAAGCTATACTTTGGGGGAGAAGAGAAGACGCTTTCCTCTCGAGCTGAATACTTCCCATCATCAGAGGTAGAGTCAAAAAATTGTCAGAGGGATAATTATTTGAGACAGTGTTTTCGATAACAGGGTAAATTACGGAAAAAACTTACTGTTTTCCCAATTACAGTTCTCTGTTGCATTAATATCCACCTTGTTATAGTGATTAACCTACAGCATCGCGCTTCCTGGGACATGGTTTAGTCTAGTCTACCCTTGATTGGTTTAGAGTGGACTTGGTAGTGTAGGTTAATGGTTGGACTGGATGATCTTAAAGGGCTTTTCCAACCTAAACCATTCTATGATTCTATGATTCTATGATTCAATAAAGCACCGATGGAGTCTTGTGCCCCAAATGCACAACTTTCGAGTTTATTTGGTGCTCCCAGCACACACTTTAGGCTCAGGACACAACAGGGGTGTAAACGCACCCCTTCATACTGCCAGCTTACCGCCGCAGGGTCAGGCACCGACTGGGGATGCTCAGCTTGGCGAAAGGATGAGACGTGCCTGCGGCCAAAGTTGAGGGACGTGCCCGCTGTGGAAAGGCAGAGCTGAGAATTGCCTGCGCCATGCAGTGCCTGGCGGCATCGTGCGCCGCTGTGGTACGGTCCTTGGGTGATAGGCTTGCAGCTGGACTAGCTACTGGACCCCTGTGATCTCCAGGGTCATCTTCCACTGCTCGGAGTGTTTACTGATCATTTATAATGGAAGGTATTAATTTCAAATAAGCAGCTCTGGTTGAACTGTATTAATGAGTAAAGAAATGTCGGAAGGTGCCAAAAGAGGAGGCTCGGATCTGTGTCCTGCTGGAATCAATGACAACAGAGAGAGCCCATCCGAGTGCCCCAGACATCTCCCTGATGCAGTTAGATCATTATGAAGTGTAATTTAAGTATTTTGCTCCAGACGGAATTATTTTTTTTTTTTTCAAATCGACTCTACCCCCAAGAGTTAATGTCTCCATTAGTGCCATAGCACGCCCTTATAAAATTCATTGAATTTCATGCATATATTGTTGCAGATTAAAGCTAAAAAACTTGTCACCTAAGTTAACCAAAAATATTTCAAAGGAGTGGTGGGGGGAGAAGGGAAAGGAGAGATAACTGTGCAAATGGTGCTGCTTGGGAAATATATTCCTTACATAATTCCTTCATCTCTTTGGAAAGGCTTTGAAGTTTTCTAGTGAATAAATTTCTCACAACGCAGAATGAGTCCACTCTTCTGCAAAGCTAATTAAGCAGCAGTATGGCAGGACAGCATCACGTCGGGTTTGGGGAAGGAGAGTGGATAACTTTGTTTCTTTAGTACAATAGCAATCCATAGCTAATAATGAACATTACGGCAAATAATACTACTGACCTTGCAACAAGCCACCCGTCTCCGTACAGGCACCATTTCCTTTCCTGGCTGTAGCAGCTGGGGTTTCAGACTGGAATATTTGACAGAAAGTGATTAATAGGACCTTGAAATCGCGGGCGTCCATTTAGCAGAGGATAAAGCCTTAAAGAGGAATAAAATCTCTACCCTGACCCTCTCTGTGATAAAACACGTCACAATGTCCGCTGATAAATATAAAACCATTCTTAGAAGGGATCAAAGCTTCTAGACATGATGATGAGCCACTAAAAGGGGCAGGAGAGAAGCAGGGCTGTCACTGTCATCGATTCCTGCCACAGCAGGAGATCTGGGAGGTCAAAATCCACTGAGGTGATCGCAGGAGGTCACTGTTGGACCTCAGGGGATCTGAATCAAAGGTAGTCCCCTCTTGACTCCTTAAGATAAGTATAGCTTTGTGTTATGGGTGAAGGGACACCAAACTGGCTCCTGAGAGGTTTCTCCCAAGCTTTCATGGGCCAGGAGAAGGTTGCAGGGGGGCAGCTCCTGTCCTCCTCCTGTCTGCAAGGACGTGCCACCGGCGTGCAGATGGGGAAGACCAGTGTGGGAGATGGGGTGGGAGGGACTCGTTGGGCCACCTTCAAGAGCCAGAAACCTCATTTTACCACGGAGTTTTTCTTCCTTCTGTGCGTCTTCATGCGGTCTGTGTTCGAGTGGATGCTCAGTCCTTCAACGCGTCGCAGATGCTGTTCTTCGAGCTGTGCCTCTGCCACTCACTTCAGGTGGCAGGAGTTTCTGGGAAAAACACCCCAAATCTTTTTAAAACTTTTCCTCCATTTAATCCTACTCTTTGCTCCAGGAATACCATACTTACATAAGTACACACATTACAGTTAACATAGTGGTGAAACTGCCCTGGAGACACCACGTAGACAGCTAGGCAGGCAACTAGCAGCTCTGATATTTTTTAGCTCATTCTGAAGAGTAAAAGCCTCCGCAGCTCACACATCCTCTGTGTTCACCTTACGTATGAACTCAGTTGCATTTTTTTGCACCACAGACAATGTTTGTAAACTACTCCAAGTCCATTGATGCAGTTTAATGCCGTGCAAAATGCAGCGGAATGTTTTCCATTCGTCACCCTCTGATCTGCTGCTGCTTTATTTTTTTACAGCTCATATTTGAAGGGATCCGCGGCCCCGGCATCGAAGGTGATATTGCTATTGATGATGTATCAATTGTGGAAGGAGAGTGTATGAAAACAGACCAACCGGCCAACAGTAAGTGGCTCTTCCACATGTGGGGGAGAGCAAATTGCTTCTCATGGTTATAAATTTGAGACACTTTCTAAAATGGATTTTCTCCAGGAGAACAATATCTATTGTTTGATTCAGTTGGGGAGGCTTAAAGTGAAAGATTTTCCTTGGAAGCAGGACCTGGAGTCAAAATGTCTTTGTTAGGATAGGAAAACGCTGGTTTAGCAGAGATGCAGGTGGAAGGCTGATGGGCGTTAGGCAGAGGCGAGAGCAGCAGGCTGCGCTCCCCGGTGGGGCCGGGGTGGGCGGCCGTGATTCAAGATGGGCAGACAGATAAAGCAACATGACTGGCTTAGAGTAGACTTGGTAGTGTAGGTTAATGGTTGGACTGGATGATCTTAAACGTCTTTTCCAACCTAAACGATTCTATGATTCTATGATTCTATGATTAAAAAAAGGAAAATGTTCAGGGGGTCCAAGCAATATGAAATGAATGAATATCAGTGTTGCGATTCCCTGTGGACCTTGTTTCATCCCTCCACCCCGCCGTGTGCATTGCAATACCGACCTTCACTACACCAAGTGTTTTTGTCATCTCAACGTCTCCTGCCTCATTCAGTTGGCAAGCGGCATTCTCGTCCCCTCTTTGCAGGAGGTGACCTTGCAGAGCGCCGTCCCTACAGAGACCAGGGCTCTGCCGGGGGGGTTGGTGGCACTCGGCGTGACAAGCGGAGACAGCCTGGGTGAGCATCACCCCGCTGTCCTCCCCGGCTGCCTCTGCGTCGGTGTGCAGGACAGGCGATGGCGGCTGAGCCCTTTCTCTTCTAAGCCTTGTAGCAATGCTGACTGTGTCTGGGCAGCTCTTTAATTCTACCTTTTTCACCCCTTTTTGTAGATTTACGATCAGGTGCTGTTGGGACATTAGCGCATATACGACTTATCCCAGTTATCATCCTCATGTCTGTCTTAAGTCATCAGAGGTGACCTTATCCTGGCAGAGGCTACAAAAGATTCACCAGGCACTGGCATGAAGAAAGAGTCTTTGTAAAATGGACATTTAAAAACAAACTACCAAAGATTCCTCCACTGACTGACTCAAAAGTTAAATAAATACATAAATAAATAATTAAAAAAAAATTAAAAAGCACTGGGGACATAAAAGGCATCACAGGAGTGTAACTCACTATGAACTACGTGTGAGAACGAGATCTGGCCTAAGTAAGGAAGAGACCTTCAGGTGCTTTTGTGGTCAATAATGAATACAGCATCATCTGGTTGAACTCTCGGAAAAGAGCTATAGAAACCCTTGTCAAAGCACAAAGTCATGGCTGGGTTTGTTTCAAATGAATAGTTTGCTTGTTACCATGGAAACCTAATGGCCTGCCAAAAAAAAAAAAAAAAAGGAAGGAGAGAGAGAGGAAATAAAAACAAAAACAGAGAGAGAGAAACACCTCACTGTAAACAGGGTATGTGAAGAGCTGGCATTCATTTTCCCCTCAAGAAGGTTTTTAGTATAGAGTTAAATAAATGTAGGCCCTTTCTACTTTGGCTGTCACCTTCCCTAGAGAATAACCCTAAATCAGAGCTGTTTAAAGACATTTCTGTTTCATTTCTCATGGCTATGCTTGATAACTGTATGCTGTCTCCTTTTGCATGCATTACTATCCAGGATGTGCGACCTGGGCTTACATATTACACAGGCTTATCGGAGTTTGCTTGCGGCCACTCGAACACCCCTCTCCCCTCCCCAACTGAGTCATCTGTTCTAATGAAGTGAAGAAACCAAACCACCGTCTTTTATAAATTGCCATGGAAACCAAGTGCCTTCAATGAAACAAGCCTGATTTAAGAAAAACAAAACAACAAAAAAATAAAAATAAAATAATAATAATAATTTCAACACAGAAGCTTGCACTGCTAAAATGTGGGTTGTGCAAACTCTTTTCTAAACAAACTACGGAGCCTGGGTGTGCAGACTGCAGGCAAGGAGACGAAGCCGCTTCTGGAAATGGATGGACCTAAGCTGCTGCGTAAGCCCTTTCGGATGAGATATTTGTTGTTTAACCTTCCAGACAGCCATGGCCTTTCAGCTTATTATCCATTAGAAACTAGCTTCCGTTGGTCCTGGAAATGGGAGCAGCACTCTTTTTTGTTGTTGTTGTTGTTTTTTTCAGGTTATCAAGCGGGTCAACCAGAGGAGCAGGTTGTTAAGATACACTTAGCGCAGAAGGTGGTAAAACGCAGAAGTGATTTTCTTACCCTTAACCTCCATTCGCGAGGCAGTCGGCCCCGGCGCTCGCGGGACGGGGAGGCATGCGTGGGGGACGGCTGCGCGTGCCGGGA